GATTTAACTCCATTGTATTTAATACTAAATGAGGTTCAGCAAATGGGCTGAACAAGTATCATCATCAGAAGTTAACCAATTTTTGAATTCATTCACTTGAACCATGAATGTTTAGACTGGCTTGTCTTGAAAAATCAATATTTTAAACTCAGAATGGCATTAAACAGTACAAACAAGTATTTTTACTCAGAATCGCATGAATCTCATTTGAAAATTTAACATATTATAGCACATCTGTGAATCATCATAAAAACTTTCATAATTATAATGAAAAAGTCATTTTATCATTATAAGTAACATATGAAATATTAAAAACAATTTTATATAATATTTTTTCAATTAAAATATAATTTTGTTTAAACTGTTTTGCCAACTGCCAGCCTTAATTTGAAACTTGATAGTCTTATAGTTCAATCAATGTTAACTTGCNATATATATATATATACACACACACACACACCATGTTGGGTAAAGTGATAGCCGGCTGAGTGCCACAGTGTAATAGTACTAAGGCTGTGAGTGTAGTAGTAGTCCCCAACCAGCACTGTGAATGGTTATATCTAGGTTCAAATGGAAGTGAAGAATTTCTCAGTTCCAGGTGGCATAACTGGCAGTGCAATGCACAGTAAGCAGAGGTTGTGGGATCAAATATCACTGTGGGCTAGTTTTTTTTTATTCCAGACTGTTCTAATTATTTAATAAATTATAATTATTAATTTAGATAAGAGATGGCATCCAATGTCTACCTCTAATACAGTATCTAATTATAAATAGCAGCAAAATAGCCTGATTTATTACAAATATTGTTTGGTTTAGTATCAATGCATTAAGCTTTGGAAAGTTTATTAAAATTCAGCAATTAAACTTAATACTAGGTAGCCCAAAAGTTCAATTAATGTTAACTTGCTTAAAATTAAAATTTTAAAAAGCAAGCAAATTTATGAAATAAAAATTAATGAATTACTAAAAAATTAATATAAATTTGATATCTTTTGTGTGAAATAACCCAAACAATTTCTATAGTTATGTTGCAAAAGAAAAAAAAAAGTTGTAATGAAGAGTTTAAAAAATGCAGGCAAAATTAAATAATTATAAGAACTAAAACTAAATTAATACTAAAGAAATTAAACCAAAATCTAACTAAAAAATAAAATAATTAAAACTCTGGCCTTTACACCAAAACTAAAAATAAAATCAAATTAATTAAAATTAAAATCAAATCAATTGAAAATTAAAAGAATGTTTTTAAAAACCGTTTAAAAGCTGTTTTGAAATTTTAACCCTTCTACAACCCCTTCTACAACTCCTCAAATTTTTTACTGTTACATCCTGTATATACAGATACAGAATACAGATTGCCAGTCAAACCAGCCAGATGACAACCCTAAAGTCATCCTATTTCTCCTAAAATGGAGACAGAGCATGTTATTAGATTATTAGATTATCTAAGTAACTGCAGTTAGTCTGCTGTAACAGACATCACCTTGTGTATGGGGGGCATGTATACTCTCTGCTTTGTTGACACAAAAGTTTTTAATAAACTAATATTCAATTGTTAATATTGTGATTTAAAAAACTTTTAATCTTTGAGTGAAACAAATAATTAATTTTTTTTATAACATGTGGAAGAATCTGAAATTGTGATGAGATTTTCTTGATTCCAATACCTGGAAAATGTCTGATTTTTCTGATTCCCGATTCTGATTAATTGTCCCATCACTAATGGACACTTCATGAAATTTTAGAAGTTCTTCATCTTCACAAACTGCTTTTTTGCTGATATGTGTCTGAAGGTTAGCCAGTTTCAAGAAGTCCTTTATTTTCTTATTTACCACCTCCACGTTTCTGTTTTTGACACTTTTTATATTTTTTGTTTTGTTCCATTGTTCTGGCAAATACATGCTGTGTGATGTCAGACATTGTTTTTTATCAATGCAAAATCTCTTTCCTGTTGCAACATAGTAAGCTGACTTGTGGAAAGATGTGTGTAATTGAAACAAAACCAGTTCTTGTCAAAAAGATGCTACAGGGAGATCATGGTCCAATGTTTTTTTGCTCACAGCAATTGTCACTAATGGCAACAAGATGGTTTTCTTCTACACACATCTCTTCAAAACATTTTTTCAAACAACTTTCAGTTTCTTCAGAGCCCTTGTCAGCCACTGCTTCATTTCAAATGAAGCACATACTAACATGGAATGGACACTGTTTAGGGACAAAGGTGGCAAAACCAAAGTGGTCTATCTAAAACACTGTAAAAAGTTATGATGATGCACAAACATTCAGGTGCCACTGCTGAATGAATAAAAAGTTATTAAAGTGTAAAAATAATATAATTCCAAGATTTCAAAGGTGAAAGCTTTGTTGATGTGCAGAAAATGTAAGTATAATGTGTGTAATTGGACAAGCAAACAATGATCAAGGCAGAGGTACTTTTTACAGTGAATACATTTCATAAATGCATGAGTAGAACATTCATTTTCTGCATTTTTTTTGAGAGACCATATTAGAAACAAAATGATAAGTGTGTTTTGAATGATGCACAGGCCTTTCTGATAAATATCCACATTTAAAGAATGCTACCATATCAGATTTTTGAATTGTGGTGGTGACAGAACAGAAAGTAATCTTGGTGTGAAAAGTTGATGTTTGTTGGCATTTTGTTGGCAAAATATCTCAATAATGTGTTGGCCATGACACCTTAATTTTTATGCATCACAATGTTTCAGATAGACCAGGTTTGGTTTTGCCTTGTTTGTTCTTTTGCTTGTGAGAACTTTCCACAGTCATGTATGTTGAAGTTGTATGTGAAGAGTTTTTTACAATAAAAAGTTGGACCTGCTGAATGTTTTAGTATGAGTAATGCATTGTAAATCAAATATTACAACTAAGTCAGGATCATGTTTAGTTTTTCATGTGTAATTTTTATGATGTCTGACCAACTTCTGCCTTTGTTTAATGCAGTGCAAATTCTGTTTCAAGTATATCCTTATCAGCTTCTGCAGCTGCTCGAGTTCTGATAGTCAAAGATCAGCCATGGGACATTCGCTTTTTAGGATTTTTGAATAAACTGTTGCACTCTTCAGTGAAGATTCTCCTGTACTCACATTGTACTTTCTCTTCATTGCATCTTGCTGTCTTCCATTGTGCTTTCTTTCCTACTTTCATCTTCACAACTGGCTATTTCATTGCAAATCCTCCACAATTGAGTTATAATGTTGCAAATCTATCTCTCAGCATTTATGAAGAATAGAGCAAGCAAAACAATCTCTATAGTACATGATTGACCACTGTTGTTTTGGCATTTACCTACTATTTCAAATGGGCATGACATACCAAATTCCTCAGGTCATTTGTTAATAGAAATTTCAACTACAGTAGAGCATCGATTATCCGACTCAATTGGGGACTGGGGTTGGTCGGATAACTGAAAAAGCGGATAACCAAAAAGTATGGAAAAATACATTATTAGTATAGTATATTAGTATACCCCATATAATTAGTATATTAATATATCACTATTAACCTACTTTGCATAGACTTTTCATCGATGTTAAGCCTAACAAAATTTTTTTTAAAATAATAATTGTTGCTATTGTATTGTTAAAAATTATTTTAAAATTATTTTATTGCTCACAAAACAAGCAACCACTCATAATTAGAAAATTAAGCCTCATTTAAATACTGGCCTCTCTTTTATGGTCGAGCCAGTGTTGCCAACTAAAGCACGCAAAAAGTTAACAAAAATAATATTAAAGTAGCCAAGATATAGTCAAATATTGTAGTGCCACATCACTAGTGGATGTTTGAATTTGCAGACTAGAACGTGGTTGGATAACCGATCTGACGATTGATTGGGGGTCGGATAATTGATGCTCTACTGTACTACAATTTTTCAGAACAATTTGCACCTATGATAGTGGTTTATAGTGTGTATAACTTAGTCATGGAAGTGGCACTGACCATCTTTTACTCTCAAGTCCCTCACACATACATATAAGGGACTTGAGAGTAAAAGATGGTAATACTTAGATTAAAATTGTCATAATAGTTTTTTTATTGTGGAAAAAAAGAAATATAAAAATGATTGCACCAGGAATCAATGAATAGTCATGAAATTTTTGAACAAGTGAGCAAAGCCTGTGGCAAGCAGTATCCAGTATATATATATCATAGCTTTCCCACATCTGTGGGTGACAGCTGGTACCCACTGGAGACTGCCACCAAATTTTGACACTTGTGATCATCCCAATTTGCTGTTTGCAGAGGCTCATGGGTTGTTTCAAAATTATTGGAGTAAGGTTAGGGATTCATGCAAGATCCTTCCACTAAAAAAAAGGGGAAAAAAAATCAAAATTTATTCTCTTCTACCTTTATCAATAGACAACTCAGTTCTGCTCGAGCACATATATATGGATAAAACTGCAGGTGTTCGTGGCTATGTTATATACACAAAAAGGAAAATAAAAATAGAAATGGTTGCACTGAGAATCGATGATCATCACTAAATTTTTGTTATGAGTAGTTTATATTGAGAATAAGAGACAAGTGATTGAGGGTGTGTCACCTAATTGTCCAGGGAAAAAAATGAAAACAATGGCATCAGGAATCAATGAATTGTCATAGAATTTTTGAGCAATGCCATCATAGTTTTATATATATATTTGTATTTTATAATTATAACAACTTATTTACAAATATTTCATAAATAAATGTTATAGAAATATTTCATGTATATCAGGCACATCCTTCTAATAATAAGCATAAACACGAGTGACAATTTTTAATTCGTAGATAGTTTCTAAACTATAAACATATTCAATAACTTTTATTTTAATTTCTCACGTTAGGAAATTAAAGTTGTCTATAATATTTTTTAAAACTGAATACTATTTGTTTAAAATGAATAAGTAAACTATTAAATAGTATTTAATAAGTTTTATGTACTTAATTATTTTTTTGTTAAATTGTATGTGACTAATTTTTAATTTTATTGGCAGCTTTATTATTACAATGCAAAAACAAGAGAATCTGCATGGACTAAACCTGAAAATGCAAAAATTTTATCTCAAGAACAAATAGAAGCTATGGCAGCTGCTGTTGGAGTTGGGACATCAGTATCTACAACAACAACAGCTGCCCAGGCTGCAGTTGCACAAGGTAAATAAATTATTTATTAAATTATAATTTCATATATGTGTATAATATAGTAGATCTTTGTTTAACAAATGGTGTAGTGAATAAATTACTTTTTATAAAGACATTTAGTTCTGTTAACAAACAGAAATTCTATTAAACACAGCCTCAGTCCAGTTTTATGTTCAGTTAACAGTAACTAGAAAGAATAGTTTAAGGCAGTGTTTCCCAACCTTTTTTTGTGCTATGTCCCACCTAAGCCTTTCTAAAATTCTTATGCCCCCCTAACATATACGGCGGCTATATGGTTAACTTAAACTCTGGACGAGTCCATTTTCAAATTGCCCCTTAACAATCCAATTGTCCCCGTGTGGTGTGGGCCCCACATTGGAAAACACTGGTTTAAGGTTTAGTCAACTGTTTGAGCTATGATTTGGTGTTATGTTGGTACTTGTTTTAACATGAGTACTTAAGAGAGATTCACTTCCCATAATAACTACAAAATGTATACTTCCAGTTAAGAATTATGCAAAATTTATTTGCAATAGTATAAATAATACATTCGTTACAGATACAGCATTAAAATATTTTATCATCTTTATATTTGAAACAGATGCATTCTGAAATATTTTAAATTAATTATTAAAGAAATTAGGTCAATAATAACAAAAAATAATAATACAGAAGTAAAGGAATTTGAATATTTTTGCTGCTTTTTTGGTTTCACTGTGTAATATGTCTTATTATTTAATTTTGTCAAGTGTTAAACTGGAGTTGATTAACTGGTGTAACAAAGCAAGTGATAAGACTTTGCTTATGCAAAAATACATAAGCAGGGGCAACAACTAAGACCCATATTAGACAATGCCTGGTCTCCTACATGCAAGTTTGAGCAAGCTTATTCAACACCCACTTACAGAAATATCATGAACTCAGCTCAAATGGTAGAGATGTTATGCTGATGCACACCAATGAGTAACTCTTATTACTATCTTGGATTTCAAGTCTTTATATTCTTTGATCAGATTGGAACCATGTTTCTGTAACCTATGAGATCAGCTGATGCAAGAAGTTCTCATGCAAGAACATCATTAACAAATTTTGGAGTTATTGTACTTGCTTTATTACACTGCCTGTGTCTAATTGGATACCATGTTACCTGTAAAAAAGAGGGATCTTTATGGGTTGTTCATTGTCTGGTGACTATGTGAAATGATTATATGATGATTATAAGATAGGTTCTTCCTAAATTCCTGTCACAAATTGCTGTTTACTGGCAATATATTGATATTTGCATTATTTGGATAGCCAAGCCTAACATTGATGATTTCATCCAAGCAATGAATGACAACTCATACAAAGCCTGGAGTTAGACCAAATTGGTGAGAACAATGCACATATTTTAGGTATAGACTTTTCTTTCAACAGCAAGTGCTTTGACATGAAGATCTATTACAAACCAGACTTTATTCTGTTATATGTACAGTGGTACCTCAGGATACGAACGCCCCAGCATACGAAATTTTCAGGATATGACATGAAATTTGAACATATTTTTGCTCCACGATACGAACAAAACGCACGCTACATTAATTATTATGCCTTTTTGTCCTTTTTTTATCTATTTATAATTTATTTTGTATACTAGTACTTTCTATGTTAATACATAGAAAGTACTAGTATACAAAAATAATGTTCTTTATTTAGTTCACCAGGTGAACTAAATAAAGAACATTATTTTTGAACTGTAATACTAAATATCTGCATCCATAATTTTCCAGTATAATAAGTCCTGTTAATACATAGAAAGTACTGCGATAGAAAAATGGTGCTGCGAAATAAATTATAAATAGCACGCTACATTAGTTCGCAGCACCATTTTTTATTTACTTCTGTGCATCGGTCTCAGTCTGCGTGTTTGCTTCGTCGTATAATGATCTCGCTCGATAAAGGAAATCTTGAGGTATTATCAGAAAGTGACTGATTTTATTGAAAAGAAACATCCCAAAAAGGTTCACACTTGGCGTATTGCTGCTCGGAGTAATGACATTTGCCTAAGTCATTTTAGAAACATTTTAAAAAGTAGGCAAAGCCAAACCTCTTTGGATAGATATTTTACCAAGCGATCTCTATCCAGTGAAAGTGCTGGTGGAAGTGAAGGAAGGAAAGCAAAAAGCACTGAATAAAAATTAAAAAAGAAAAAAATTAGTGTTGTTTTTTAAGTTATTGTTATATTATGTCATGTAAGTTAAGTTTTTAGTATCATTTCCCTTCTCCCTCTCTCCTGCCACCGTCGTCTATCCTCAAAGGTAAAGTGCAAATAAAACTACATTTTTTTTAATCAATTATTATTCTATTATGGTTATTTATATATTTAGAACTACAAAACGCATTTTTCAGTGTTTTCCTTACTATACATTTTTTAATGTACTACTTAGCTTTAATTTGAGTGTGTTTTGGTGTTGGAACGAATTATTTGGTTTTACATGTAATCGTATGGGGAAAAATGATTCAACTTACGACATTTTCATGATACGATCTCAGTTTCGGAATGAATTAATTTCGTATCCTGAGGTACTACTGTACTGGCCAACTCCAACGATCTGTTTAATTACAAAGTAGCACCCTTCACAGTATTCATGAAGAGATTCTATTCTCATTGCAGTTACTAAGGAGATGCGTTGCATCACAGACATTGCTACTATGTATGGCTATTCCAAGGGCTTGACCTATAAATTAGCCCATAGACAGGAAACGAAAAAAACACAATCAGACAACACACCCAAAGATGCTTCTGTAGATAACCCGGCACTAAATGAAACTAAATCTCACTGTAATGTGATGGCTTATGATCATCGCATGCATAATATATATAAGAAAATAGCATCATATGCAAGCACAAGATTAACATGTCTCCATATGTTTAAAATGCTCAGAAATGAAAAAGACCCGATTGACTATGACAGAGCACCAGGCACAGGTCTATATAAGATACTTCTCAGAGATGAAAGGTTTCAGAGACTTAATCTGCATAGGTTTTACTGTCAGGTCCCTTAAAAAGTGCTTAACCAAACACAGAGCTGAAATAGATAAAGGCAGGCAAACTACTGCCCTTTTGATGTATGTGGAGAGGATGAATTACACCTGATTTACAGCAGGCTATGTTAATTAGAATAACCACAGACTCAAAGTAATAGAAGTGCTAGAGATTTTTAAAGCAGAAAGAAAAAGAAAATATATAAATTTTAAAGTAGAGAGGTGCATTTCATAAGTGTAGCAGGTCTAGTTTGATATGTCATTATGAAAACTGTTTTACAATTTCTATACTTGGACACATCCTATTGGTTGATTTTAGAGTATTTTAAATTTGAATTTTTGTATAAGCTCTTCTGCTCCCGACACATTCAAAAACCAAAATGTTAGATGTTCCATCTATTTGAAATTTGACCTGAAGCAGATCTTCAGTATAAGACCTGCTCAGGAAGACTGAAAATGTTTATTTTTCTGAACTTGCATCATTCTGCGGGGGAAATTACAAGGTAGGGAGTTTCCACAGTATAGTATAACCCAGTTTCTGGAGTATTACTATTATTTGGTTATTTTCAAATTTTATAAAATTTTATGTTGTCGTTTAAATTGACATTTTTATAAGATTAAATTTCATTTACATTCTTGTTAATTTTAGTTACAATGTTAATACAAATAAATGTTTTAGTAAACAAATATTTAAATATTCATTCTTTATATTCTTTGATCAGATTGGAACCATGTTTCTGTAACCTATGAGATCAGCTGATGCAAGAAGTTCTCATGCAAGAACATCATTAACAAATTTTGGAGTTATTGTACTTGCTTTATTACACTGCCTGTGTCTAATTGGATACCATGTTACCTGTAAAAAAAGAGGGATCTTTATGGGTAGTTCATTGTCTGGTGACTATGTGAAATGATTATATGATGATTATAAGATAGGTTCTTCCTAAATTCCTGTCACAAATTGCTGTTTACTGGCAATATATTGATATTTGCATTATTTGGATAGCCAAGCCTAACATTGATGATTTCATCCAAGCAATGAATGACAACTCATACAAAGCCTGGAGTTAGACCAAATTGGTGAGAACAATGCACATATTTTAGGTATAGACTTTTCTTTCAACAGCAAGTGCTTTGACATGAAGATCTATTACAAACCAGACTTTATTCTGTTATATGTACAGTGGTACCTCAGGATACGAACGCCCCAGCATACGAAATTTTCAGGATATGACATGAAATTTGAACATATTTTTGCTCCACGATACGAACAAAACGCACGCTACATTAATTATTATGCCTTTTTGTCCTTTTTTTATCTATTTATAATTTATTTTGTATACTAGTACTTTCTATGTTAATACATAGAAAGTACTAGTATACAAAAATAATGTTCTTTATTTAGTTCACCAGGTGAACTAAATAAAGAACATTATTTTTGAACTGTAATACTAAATATCTGCATCCATAATTTTCCAGTATAATAAGTCCTGTTAATACATAGAAAGTACTGCGATAGAAAAATGGTGCTGCGAAATAAATTATAAATAGCACGCTACATTAGTTCGCAGCACCATTTTTTATTTACTTCTGTGCATCGGTCTCAGTCTGCGTGTTTGCTTCGTCGTATAATGATCTCGCTCGATAAAGGAAATCTTGAGGTATTATCAGAAAGTGACTGATTTTATTGAAAAGAAACATCCCAAAAAGGTTCACACTGGGCGTATTGCTGCTCGGAGTAATGACATTTGCCTAAGTCATTTTAGAAACATTTTAAAAAGTAGGCAAAGCCAAACCTCTTTGGATAGATATTTTACCAAGCGATCTCTATCCAGTGAAAGTGCTGGTGGAAGTGAAGGAAGGAAAGCAAAAAGCACTGAATAAAAATTAAAAAAGAAAAAAATTAGTGTTGTTTTTTAAGTTATTGTTATATTATGTCATGTAAGTTAAGTTTTTAGTATCATTTCCCTTCTCCCTCTCTCCTGCCACCGTCGTCTATCCTCAAAGGTAAAGTGCAAATAAAACTACATTTTTTTTAATCAATTATTATTCTATTATGGTTATTTATATATTTAGAACTACAAAACGCATTTTTCAGTGTTTTCCTTACTATACATTTTTTAATGTACTACTTAGCTTTAATTTGAGTGTGTTTTGGTGTTGGAACGAATTATTTGGTTTTACATGTAATCGTATGGGGAAAAATGATTCAACTTACGACATTTTCATGATACGATCTCAGTTTCGGAATGAATTAATTTCGTATCCTGAGGTACTACTGTACTGGCCAACTCCAACGATCTGTTTAATTACAAAGTAGCACCCTTCACAGTATTCATGAAGAGATTCTATTCTCATTGCAGTTACTAAGGAGATGCGTTGCATCACAGACATTGCTACTATGTATGGCTATTCCAAGGGCTTGACCTATAAATTAGCCCATAGACAGGAAACGAAAAAAACACAATCAGACAACACACCCAAAGATGCTTCTGTAGATAACCCGGCACTAAATGAAACTAAATCTCACTGTAATGTGATGGCTTATGATCATCGCATGCATAATATATATAAGAAAATAGCATCATATGCAAGCACAAGATTAACATGTCTCCATATGTTTAAAATGCTCAGAAATGAAAAAGACCCGATTGACTATGACAGAGCACCAGGCACAGGTCTATATAAGATACTTCTCAGAGATGAAAGGTTTCAGAGACTTAATCTGCATAGGTTTTACTGTCAGGTCCCTTAAAAAGTGCTTAACCAAACACAGAGCTGAAATAGATAAAGGCAGGCAAACTACTGCCCTTTTGATGTATGTGGAGAGGATGAATTACACCTGATTTACAGCAGGCTATGTTAATTAGAATAACCACAGACTCAAAGTAATAGAAGTGCTAGAGATTTTTAAAGCAGAAAGAAAAAGAAAATATATAAATTTTAAAGTAGAGAGGTGCATTTCATAAGTGTAGCAGGTCTAGTTTGATATGTCATTATGAAAACTGTTTTACAATTTCTATACTTGGACACATCCTATTGGTTGATTTTAGAGTATTTTAAATTTGAATTTTTGTATAAGCTCTTCTGCTCCTGACACATTCAAAAACCAAAATGTTAGATGTTCCATCTATTTGAAATTTGACCTGAAGCAGATCTTCAGTATAAGACCTGCTCAGGAAGACTGAAAATGTTTATTTTTCTGAACTTGCATCATTCTGCGGGGGAAATTACAAGGTAGGGAGTTTCCACAGTATAGTATAACCCAGTTTCTGGAGTATTACTATTATTTGGTTATTTTCAAATTTTATAAAATTTTATGTTGTCGTTTAAATTGACATTTTTATAAGATTAAATTTCATTTACATTCTTGTTAATTTTAGTTACAATGTTAATACAAATAAATGTTTTAGTAAACAAATATTTAAATATTCATTTGTTTTCTTAATCTACATTTTGTATGTTTATATTTACATATTTAAATGAAATATTAGATTATTCATTTATTTGTAATGATATGTATTATTGAAACTTATAAAATTAACTTCTAATAAATGCTTGTGTATTTCAGCTCAGAATGCAGTTCAACAGAAAATAAGTCAAAATGAGAATCAGACATCTGCTTCTGACACAAATTCATCAGACACTCAGACTACTTCAAGTCAGGCTTTAACAACTTCAAGAGAGAGTCCCATTCCTGCAGGCACAAATACAACTTCTGTTAATATTTTGCAACCACCACCATTTGGTTTACCATCATATGGAATGCCTCCTGGTATTCCTCCACCAGGTAATTTGGATACCATTTCATTTTTCTTTTTTTAAATGAAACTATTACATACTTTGTTTTGTTTTATATATTTATATTTTGTTTAAACTAAACAAATATTAGCTTGTGTTCTATGTATGTTGTGACTGTGTGCAATAACACAAAGGGGTGAGACTGTGAACAATACATTTATTGTCTGTTTGGGATCAGTTACACAGTTAACGGTGGGACAATGGTCCAACTATATTCTTGTTGCGTGACTGACTGACTAACTCTCCTCCTTGCTGTTGAGTGATGCCCTCGTCGTTGCATCTCTCACATCCTCCCCACCTTGGTCCTCTGCTTCTAGTGGGAGGACCAATTGAATGGGTCAGCTGATGCACTTCTGATCAGAGAGCCTCAGACTGCATGTTCAAATGCAACCATCGCAGCCAGCAATCAGCTCTTTGATACAACTGCCCTCCACATCTGTCTAGGCAATGAGTCCTCCTTAAGAACAAGAGCTCCTTCGTGGAGTGGAGGCAGTTTCATCCTGACCCTGCAAACATGATGAAAGCTTTGTAACTCAAGCAGATATTTCTGCCATCGTCGCCAGAAGCTCTCAGTGATCGACTGTTGGTAATGCCATTGTTTCACAAGGTCATAAGGTAGAAAATGGTTGTTAGGCTCTGGAAGAATCAGTAATTCTTTTTCCTACCAAGAAGTGAGAGGGTGTGATGGCCTCTGGCTCTTCTGTGTCATAATTGTGTATCAGAGGCCTGCTGTTTAGGGCAGCTTCTACCCCAATGAGTATGGCAGACATCTTTTCTGCATTAACTAGGCTTTTCCCCAGTTTCTTGTGGAGACATCTCTTCATGTGTCCCACTATCCTCCCCATCAAGTCGCCTTCTCCACATTTAAGATCCAAGTGATGCCATGGTGGGCAGAGTAGTGGGCAATCTGCTTATCAGAGAGTGTTTGCCATAGATCCTATAGTTCTTTGTTGGCTGTGTGGAAGGATTTGCCATTGTCTGAGTAAATCTTGCAAGGGAGGCTTTGCTATCCTACAAAGTGCTGTAGACAAAGAAAGAAACTGTCTGTTGACATGCTTGAGGACAGCTCTAGATATACAGCTGGTATTGTGGAATAGGTGAATAGTGTAATGTACGATTTCTTTATCGACTGACCTTTTCGAATATACAGCGGGCTGGCAAAGTCTATTCCTGTGACTGACAAAGATGGGTTGGGTAATACACGGTCAGGAGGGAGGGGGCTTCAGTCTCTCGATAAGGCTGACTTTGTAGGTGTTGTCACAGTGGACATCTATGCAGTGCAGTCTTAATGACTTGGTGGGCTCGCAGGATCTAGAACTCTTCTCTCAGGTTGGCGAGAACCACATGAGTGCCCAGGTTCCCAAGACGTAGGTGGCAGTCCATGATAAGGAGACAGGTGAAGGTGTGTCGGCCATCTAGTAGAATTGAATGCTGCATGGAGGTGTGGACACCTGCAAATTGCAGATGGCACCCTACTCTTAGGTCCCATTGGACAGGAATGAGTGGAAGCAGTAAATGGGTGATTTTTCTGATATAAGTACTAGAGTTAAGTGCTATTAACTCGTTAGCAAAATATATATATTCTGGACTGCTCTGATCTAGTAATCTCTCACTGAGTTTACTTTGTCTGCTGAGATCTCTCTTGCCCACCGAACTGGAGGATCCAGGCTGTTACTTGAGGGAGGCATGTGTAGCTACTTAAGTGAGATTCATCTAGCAACTCAATATAGGCTGTAGTGTGCAGGGTGACCACGTCTTTGTGTTTTTCTGGAGCGCAATCTGATGGTGTAGAGTGGTCATTGGCAGGCCAATATTCTTCTGTTTGTGATAACCATTGGGGACCCTACCACCAGGATGTGCAACTGCGGAGATGTTCCGTTGTCGGGCCTTGGAACAGGTGATCAGCTGGGTTATCTTTGTCGGGACAATGATGCCATAGATTTGGGTTGGTAATGCTTTGGATCTCCGTGACTCGATTCTGCACAACAGTCTTCCATCAATTGGGGTGTCCATGGATCCAACCTAAGGTCACCTTGGCATCACTCCAAAGAACTGCTCCTTCTCTTAGAAGGTTAGTAACATATTTTAGTAGGCGACAACACACACTAAGGCTGCAAGTAATTCTAGCCAGGGTAAGGTAACTCTTTTGATGGGGGCTAGACAAGCTTTGCTGCAAAGAAGGCATGTAGAGGTGCCTGATGGAAGATTGGTACGAATGTAAATAACAGCATCACAGGCACATTCACTAGCATCTCAGGCATGTTCACTAACATCACAGAAGACATGAATTCTTGCTAAATGTAGGTCTAAACTTGTTGTTTTGATCCATCTTGGTATGGACACAAATGACAAGTGTTGTAGGTCTTCTAGCCACTGTTTCCAATGAGTTGAGATATCTGCTGGCGAGTGTCTTGGAAAATGATTTTTCCTGTAATGGAGATGGGTGCAAATAATCCAAGAGGGTCATAGAAGCAGGATGATGTGGCAAGTAGCAGGAGTTTCGTATTGGGGCGTTCCACAGCATTTGAAACAATGTCATTGTAGTCTATGAGGAGTTTGTCCTTTAAGGTGTCCCAGTCTACTTTGAGAACTTGTGTTTTCTGAGTGTATGCTATGTTCCTGTCTTCCCACAGCTCCTTCAGCAATTCAGAATTGATAGCCTATTTTGCCATGGAAAGGTGGATCTGACCCATATATCTGTAATGCCCTGATATATTTGTATGACAGCAGGGGTCAGTATCATTTCCTGCTGAGAAGTCGTTCATATATAGACATTTGTCCAGTATTTGGGCAGCTGAGGGGTGGCTGATTGGAACTGGCTGTGAGTTCTTGGAGGGCGGCTGACAGGAGAAATGGACTGGATGCTAGTCCATAAGGCAGCTGTTGGAACCGGCAGACAGCCAATTCCTTCATAGTGTGTAGATGTCCCCTTTTTGTCTGTGACCGACCACCTTAAACCAGAAGAAGCAGGTGACATCTCGGTTGTCAGGGTGCAAGATCAACTAATGCCCGTTTGTGAGGACGAAAGCAGAGTAGTGTTGCTATGATGTTTAGCATCAGGTTGGGACCCACTTCAAAGGCATCATTGAGGGCAGTATGCCCTTTCGCATGAGAAGACGCATCAAATATGATATGCCATTTGGCAGCATTGTGTTTGCTTCGGATTGATGCTTGGTGTGGCAGGTAGTAGGTTTGTTGTAATTTTGCTTGTTCATCAACCCATTCCCCATAACCATTGGAGAAGTAGTTGAGCATGTGGCAGGTGTACATATTGCTGGATCTGCAACATAGGGCCTCAAAATGTCGCAGAGCAGTTGTGCGGTTTGTATCCGTGACACAGATGTTCCATTTCCAGGCAGACGAACCTCTGCCCTTCCTTCCTTAATCCGGAAGGAGTGATGGAAGCAATCGAGCAGATGTGCATCGTGGATGGTCAATGACTTCTCTTCTGACTCTTGGATGCCAAGGGTGTCCAGATCCCAAATTGACTGTAGTATTGGATCTAAAGGAGTTGTAATGCTATTAACCTGGACTGTGTGAATTGAGACATTAGTCTGGTTGCCATTCAAAATCCAGCCAATGTGTGAGGAGACTAACGTCAGGGTATCATTTATATGGATGGGGCTTTCAGTTTTGACAAATCACCAATAAAAGTCTGCTCCAATTAATATTTCAATGGGTAGATCACATGACTCTTGCTGTGGATCTGCAAGTTCTAGTGGTGGTATCTGTTTGACTGGATAGGCAAACTGTGATACCATCAGATGAAGGAGGTACGTATTTGAGGATTCTGCTGCTATTAAGGATGTAGTAAATCTGCTGATACAGCTGGATAGAGAGAGTCGTACTCGATATTGTGATGTGTAGGTGCTGGCATCTAATTCAAAGGCTTGAATCGCCAGTGGTTCATATCCAATCATTTCCAGTTCTAACAAGTCAGTGAGAGGGGTGCCAACGAAACTCCTTTGGCTTCCCGGATCTAAGACACATTAACTTGTCTTTCAGTGCCTTTTGCTCCATGAACCCAAACTTGAGCTGTCTGTAGATATGTAAAATCTGAGTTTACATCGATTTTACTCACTGTGGCTTGAGATGTACTAATGGTTGAGGGAGCAAAAACTGGAGAGGATGTTGTGAGTTGGGTTGCATGTTGTATTGGTCTGTTAGCTGCAATTATCATATGGGTCTGCATTGGGTTTGTCTCACATATTGAGATATGATGATTGCAGCTACATCTTTGACATATTAGTTTCCTTGTCGGGGGCAGTTATGAGCAGTGTGATTTTGGCCTAGGCATAGAAAACAATGGTTAGTCTTGTGCAGTTTCCCTGCATGGTCTCTTGTTATAAGTGTGCAGTCAGAACTGAAGTGGTTGGAAGGTGTTACAGAAGGCACACGGAGAATGGGAGGATCCTCTCCCTTTGGAGTTTCTTCTTGTAGACTTATTCCTTGTCTGGACTGCTAGAGCAGCTGCTGTAGCTCTGGGTTCTTCCCTTGCAAGAAACTGATCCTGTGGTCCATGAATAGTAGCTGCAGTAATAATACTGTCTATTTCATTTCCCACAAACTTCAGCAAATGTTCCAGGTCAGACTCACTAATACTTTTTATGATGAGCATGGACGAGCCATCATTTACACAAGGAATCTGGGAAGGCCCGAAGGATTTTTGGTGTTAGGATGTGTCCATACTGGCTGATGGGCTCTCCCGGGACTTTCAGAGCATGTACCCTATTATTGCACTTAACAAAAAGTTCATTCAATTTCATGGCTGTAGGATGGATCAGAGGTTGCAGACTCTCTATGTAGTCAATGTATGCCTGAATTATATGGTTTTTATCTCTATTTCTTCAATACTTGTGCCTTGGTCTCAGCATAAGTCCCTGCAGTTATGGCGATGCCATCTACTAGGCGCTTAGCTTCTCCTTGGAGACATCCCTGGAGAAATACATGCTTCTCAATGTTTGGTATGTTAGAATCCTCATCAATAGC